CCGGCGGCGGGGGGGGGCGGTTCCCGGGGGGGGGCGAAGGAACGGGCCCGATCCCCGCTGCCCGCCTTTCTCTGCAGATGCTGAGGCTGCACCTGCCCGACCCGCCGGTGGACAGCGAGGAGGAGGAGGAGGATGAGGAGGCGGCAGTGGCGGCTGCGGAAGGCGCAGCGGCTCAGAGCAGCCGAAGCTCCATCCCCATGGATGCAGGTAACGGGATCTCCGCCCAGGCTCTCCCGGCCACCCCACGCCGGGCTCGGCCACGGTCTCACGCTCTCTCTGTTCCCAGAGCACGTGGAGCTGGTGAAGAGGACGATGGCCGGCGTGAAGCTTCCCACCCTGGGCATCCCCGCCTGGGCCAGCCAGATCTCGGAGGACCAGTGGAGGGACGTGGTGCAGCGCACGCTGCAGGCCCGGCAGAGCCTCGGTGGCCCCAGGCCCGAATGGAAGTGAGGGCTGAGCTGCGGCGCGGGGGCTGCTAACCCCAGCCCTCCCTCCGCCGCGCAGGCGAGGCAGGCAGCTGCTGCCTCGGAGCCGAGCGGTGACGGGACTTGCCGGCATCGACCTTCCAGTTTCTCCCACTGACGTTGTCCGACTTCCCTTCCCGCTCCTCCTTCCTGGTTCTGGCTGGCGCGTAAGTCACTGCGATGTCCTTGTGTTGGCTTCCTCTGCCTGCGAGGAGCCCGACCTGTTTCCATACCTGTGTGCGTGCGGAGGGAGGGGGGGTTAGCCAGCTTTGCCTGTATTCCCTTGGGACAAACGCTGGATTCGTCCCTGTGCTGTCGGTGCTGAAGAAGTCCCTCTCCGCGCTAGGGCCCCTCCTCCCAGGAGAGGGGCTGTGTGTTGGAGTATCAGAGGTGGAGTCTAATGTGTCTTTCCAAGAGATTGGTTTTATTTAGTTCTGTACATACAGGGACATCTGTACAAAATCCAACACTTTCATACTATGTAATGCTCTACTGAAAATAAAGTACACCATATGTACATATGAACTGTAAGCAGCTTAATACTTGTGTCCAGGGGGTGAATGCAGTAGTTAGTTAGTTTTGCTTGTTCCCTCAGGAGGAGGGAGCCAGGTGAAGTGGAAGAGGCAGCTCCAGTTCTGTCCATTTGGCTGATGTGGGGAAAGGCATAGGCAGAAATGAGCAGCACTAACGCTAGAAACCAAGTGTTGAGCAAGGGGCAGCTGTAGCGTGGCAGACGCAGGTCTGCGTATGAGCAGTACATGTGGCGGAGAGGGTGAACACACTCCCCCCTTTCTCACATGGTCCCCTTCCTAGATGTCCAGGACACCGGAATGAATAGGCAGCAAACTAACGGCAATGTGAAGGTATTAAGCGTAAGTTCCCTGACCCAGAACAAGACACACAAAGCTATGAGAACATCAAAGCTGTACAGCACGTAGTTGTGATGCATTACAGTCCTGTCCCGCACATGGCACAATCCCGGTGGCATTCCTCCGGCCACACTTGGCGACTGCCAGCAGAGACAGACCATCTGCAGGACAGCGACAACTTCTGCACACCAGAAGTCTCCGTTCCTTCTGCAGGCAGAACAGCCCGCAGCAGGGAAAAGGCAGCCACTGCCTAGCAGCAAGCAGGCTCGAGTGAGGGCACATACATGCTTGTAGCACTCTAAAAATGAGGTGGCGGCTTACAATGCAACGCTAAGCAGACGAATTGGAAAGCCTGTACTGCAACGGGAAGAAACATCCTCCCCAGCCCAAGCCCTGCGGCGGCTGGTGCTGGGCAGTCCTTGTCTCCGCTGTGCCCCAAAACGCCTGCCGCTCCTGTGAGCCATCCAGCATCACCCAGTGCATGTCTACATGCTGTGCCAGGCGTGAGGTAATTGATTGGCAGCTGACCATGAGCTCAGACTAATGTTCAAAATAAGCAATAACCTCCCTGAGGTGTTTCGTAAGTCTCCTGATGAACTGGCCCATTGCATGAAGCGGAGGGGAGGCGGGGTCCTGCACAACTGTGGGTGATCTCACACATAACTCACGCTCGCCAGCTGCTCCTAAGAGATGGTGGCATGCCTAACAAGGGCCAAACGGAAAGAGAGCTAAACAGGGCACCAGGTACAGGATACACAGGGAAAAAACAGCTTAGTTTGGGTTGGGGTCAAGATGTGTTGCACACCAGCAGTAAGATTAGAGGGGATGAACCTCTGACCTGGGAATGGTTTACTGGTGAGGACGAGCAGATACACCAGGACCTTCTGCAACAACCCACGATGCTGCAAAGCAGTGTCAGACTAGCACCGGCCCCATAAGCTCCCTGCGCTATTGCAAACCCACTTAAGCTTATGTGTCAAGAAAGCAAGCGCAGCAGGTAAGAAGCAAGGAAGACCCCCTTTCCTACCACCTCAGCCTCTCTGAGGTGGCATCTTGGCCGGGCATTGAATCTGCACCACAAAAGGTAGGGGAGAAAGCCGGATCACAGTAGCACCCCAGTGCTGCGCAACCCCCTGGGCTATCAGCAAGTGCGCTCTAAATGCTAAATTAGCACAAATCCCTGATGCACCATATGATAACTAACAAGGGCCTTGGGCCACAGCAGGTGCCAAAGTAACAGGGAAAGGCGAACTTTGCTCAGAGCACCCACGGAAGCAATTCAGCAGTAGCACCTAGCCATTGATCATAAAGAGGAGAGAACTGAACACTCAGGAATTCAGCCTGGCCCCGTAACATCTATCTGTTGCTCCCACTAGTTTGCAGAAATTACTTTAGCAGCACAAGCTTCCTAGAAACCCTGGCCACTGCAGAGCTAAGGATGGGATACAGCGACAAAGGGAGAGAGCTGCAGGAGTATTTTAATTGAGCAGGTAGAGGAAAGAAAGCAGAAGTCAGTGGCTGACACCTGCTACAAAGCAGGAAGTTAATTCTGGGCCCACAATTAACCCAAGACACTGGGATGGAGACAAGTCAGCACGGACCAACACAAACAGCTGAAGGAATTCACTTTCCCACAAGAGAGCTTCTAAGGATGCTCTAAAGGGAGGGCTGCAATAGTATGTAGTGCTTGCACCCAGCTTTACTGAGGGTGGCAAAGCAACGAACCCCCACTCCACTGACAGGGGAACAGAAGGGGCTTGAAGCAAAAGAAAGATAGAAGCGAACATCTCCTCCGCTGTACCTAAGACCCTCCAGCTGCGAAGCTGCACCCCAAGGCAGGGTGGAGAGGCAGCAGAGCCCCCACAAACTCTGCCACACGCTCCTGCCCCGAGCTCAGGCAGACCTCTGACCGCCGCAGGGCTTGACTGCACAGGCGGCACAGCGGGGCAGGCATGGCGGAGGTGGGCACTTGGGGCTTGTAGCAGCATGCTGAGCCACGCACAGTAGTCTCTGGCCAACCCAGAGCCTGTGTTGCGGGGCAGCAAGGCTCTGGTTCCCAGGCAGACTAAGAACCAGGTGGCAGCTGGAAGTGAAGCGACTCCTGCCTGGGCTGATACAATCACAGGTCAGGCAGGCTCCCTTCACGCACGCACACCCGAGGTGGAAAAGCAGGAGGAAGGAGGAAAAGCAGAAGGACATGACAGTGGTGAGATACAAGTTATAACGTAAAACCAGATCTACCCTGGAGGGATGTGGATGGAGTGGAGGACAGGCACAGCTCACCATGTTCATTCCTTATTTATACATGAGAACCAAGTGCATTTCCGTGACCCCTGGGGGAAAAGGATGGGGCAGAGCTTCCCGGGCCAGCTCCTGAGCCCGTCAGAGAGCCTCCTGGCTTGAGGTGAGAAACTCTTCTGCTCTCTTGTGGGCCTCCAGGGCTTTTATAGTGTAGACGTCCTGAGGAAGCTCAGATTTCCGGCGCAGCAAAACTTTCTCCTTCTTAATGTCTTTCAGCATCTACAGACAAACCAAAGGAGTCAGGGATCAGTAGCAAACCCCTTCACCCCTCCACCCTCCCCATTCTCTGACTCCAACTGCTCTAGGATATGCTGGGTGACACCGTAGCATGCTGCAGAACAGGCTGAGAGCCAAACACAGACTAAAAGGACACAGAAAAGTCCCACTTGCACTTTTTCCAGAGTGGGAAGGTTAGATAAACTCCACTCTTCAGACTACAGGTTGATCACTAACAATCAGGGATGAGAGTAGGGACATTTACCCTCAGAAGACTTGGAAAGACCTGGTTCTGGCTGCTGGACCCCGGACTGCCTATGCTGATGTCCTGGCTGGTCTGAGAGTAATTGTGGAAGGACCCTAGTCACCTACGCACCTGCACAGCCTCCGTCTCCACCGTTTTCTTCAGTAGCTGTATATCCTCCGCAGTCGGGGTCTCTGTTTCCATACAGCAGACAGGAGGCAATGGTGGAGGTGCGTAATACATGGGGTACTGCAGAAAAACAGACAGCTGGAGAGTCAGCACACCATCCAACACCAAGCCTTCTCCCCCAGCATCGTAACGCAGCCTGGCACTCTTCTTCCAGCCACCCTCTCCGGCACCCGCAAAGGTAGCAGCAGGTACACAGCAGGAAAGGAGCATCTTCTCCTATCCATTCCTGCCTGTGCCCTCTGAGCCACAGCACGCTGCACGTGCAGCCGCAGCTGAGAGAAGAGTCCGTAAACATGTACATGCTCTCTACAAGCCATTACTTAGAGGTCAGTGCTACAGAGGGCCAGGCTGGTAAAACACTGCCAGCATCCCCAAGACACTGTGTTTTGGGAGGGACAGACCACTGCTGCAGCTGTGTGCGCAGGACTGAGACTCATGAGCACAGGAAGCAGGTCAAGACCCCCAGCACATTCTTGTCTCATTCATCCTAGGTCCTGCTGTTACCCACCTGGGGGTTCAGCCGGGCCAGCTCCTCTATTTTCTGCCACATTTCTTCTCGTTCCTTCATCCTGAACCTTCCCCTGGAAAGAGAGAGAGCACACAAGTGTGAACTCCCAGGGAAAGTGCAGCTTTCGCTCACAGGAAGACAAAAGCAAGAGACAGCAGGAAAGCGTAGGCACGGGGAAGAGCCGCTCTGTCCTTCAGAGACCCCTAATTCTATCTACAGGCAAGATGTGGCAAGAAGAGGAGACACACTGCAGCTAGCAGGAGGTAGGCAGGCACACTCCTCCCTCACCTCGGAGCACAGGGCTGCACAGGTACTTTTTCCCTGGCTTTGTGCTGCAGGAGTGGACCAGAGCAGCTGGTTTCTGGAGTAAAGCAATGACACCAGTTTGGGTGTCAAACACAAATTTTCCTGGTGCCTTACAGATGCAGAGGGACAAACTGCCAATTTCATTAGAGTTGGGGCTCAACTGCCCACAGTTCCCTTTGCCCCTGGCCACAGCACACCAGAGAGCTGCCCAAACCTCCAGGCACAGCTCTTGAACTTGGCACAGATTTTGGCACAAACCTTAAGTGACCATTCAACTGGGCCACCTGTAAATCCCAGGGCAGTGAACGTTCCCTGCAAACAGAGGCGAACACCCACCACTCATTGTTATTCTCTTCTACATTTTAAACATTTGTACTAATATCTCTGCTTTATATTTCTAACTATCTGGCTTCCATCCCAGCTACTTCATTCTCTAGTGCCCTATGTATCCATGCTAAGGAAGTTCTTATACTCTGTAATCACCTCACACTCTTGAAATATATGTAAGAAAGGAGGCTAAAAATGAGAATGAAGCTGCCAAGCATTCAAGCAGCAGAATTCTTGTTTAACCCCAGCCAGTAACTAAGCACCACGCAGCTGCTCACTCACTCCCCCAGTGGGATGGGAGAGAGAAATGGGGGGGGGGGGGTAAAACTCCTGGGTTGAGATTATAACATTTAG